AAGTGGAAGGAAAGAAGGTAACAGAACAGTTAAGAGCTTTGGTTATTTTACTAACAGACATAAGATTGAATGGAAACTTAGGTACATATAAAACAGATGATAAGGGCACAGAAGCCATGTCAACATTACCAACACCACAGATGGGAGATGRGGACCCATTGGCAAGAGTAACAGTTTGTGATGTGGAGGTTTCAGAAAGAGAAGAGAACACACCTGGAGACCCGGTCATATGATCTGAGGCTCCAGAGTCAATAATCCAAGGAGTGGGCAAGTGTGGCAGTGGTATGTTGTGAAGTAGTTTGAAGGAACTATTCATACTTATCACGCGGTACACTCACCATCTCCCTCCCAAAAGTAGATGTAGATGTGGAAGGAGTTCGGTCTGCCTGTTTACTGTCACTGATGTCAATTTCACCTACTACAGCATGATTAGCCCATTTGGAGGGAGGGCCATGTAGGTCATAACAGAAATTCACTGTGTGTCCTTCCCTACCACAATGAGTACACTTCCTTGCAGAGTTATTCTTCCCTCTACCACGGCCTCCCCCTGAGTCACGACCACCCCGACCAATCATGGAACTGCCACGGCCACCCCCACCAATCATGGAACTACCACGACCACCCCGACCAATCAGACTGTGTGGGATTCTCTGTTTGTCCCAAAGAGATTCTGCGAAACCGTGAGAAAACTTCCTCAAGTGTAGGAAGGGTGGAGCTCCCTAATATTTGGGCTCTAACTGGTTAATACTCCGGTTTCAGCCCAACCAAAAATTTTGTAACATCTAGTTGTTCCCTTTGCTGTTGCTGAACTTTAATATCTGGAGTGAGGGGATGATAGACATTGAGCTCATTCCACATATTCTTCATGCTGGCATAGTACTCTTCTAGTGTTTTGTTTCCTTGTTGCAAATCAAAGTACTCCTGGTAAAGTTGATATACTCTCATTGTATTATCTTGTCCAGAATACAACTTCTTAGCATGTTCCCATATATCCTTAGCCGTATCAAGAAACATGAAGTTGGCACTAATTTTTTGTTCCATACTGTTTCATAGCCAAGTCATGATTTGATCATCTTCTTGTTCCCAATCATCAAACCCTGGGGAGTCAGCTGGTGGTTTCTCATCTTTTATGTGCTTCACTTTCCTCTTTGCCTTGAGGAAAACTTCCACAGATTTAGCCCATGGAACATAGTTCTCCCCATTCAGTTTAATTGARGTCATCTGTACACCTAGGTAGTCAGGGGAAACCACCACACTAGGTTTCTGATCATTACACCCATCTCCTATTGCTGCCATGGTACCTTTCACAGTTGCCCCTAACCTGAATTCTCAGCAACAAGCCGACTGCTGTTATCCAGAAATTGATGTTCCAGCACTTATAGCAACCCCTAAACACAATAGTGGATACACACGCCTTGTTCTTACTCACACTACTGCTGATTTCACAACACCACGAACTACATAAGAATCAATTTAACACTTCAGTAATCACATATAAGCCCTCTTATAATCCACTCAATAAGGATTGTGCCACACAACCACCACAGCATAGTCAAACCTGTTACACCCAGTTCAGACTAGTTTAACACTTTTAAGAGGGCACAACACAGCCACAAAAGTTCGGCTAGGTCACAACATTACACCTTACACCACTCGGCCACTTACAGCAGCCCTAACACCACTAAACAACTTACAGCAGGCCCTACACCATTCGGCTACTGTACACACAGCCCGCTCTAGGGCAACAGTGAACCTAGTTCTCTAGGTTCTGATCAGTACTAACAGCCTCTTGAAGGGTTTCTACCCAGAAATACGAGCAACACAAGAAGAAGAGATAACCGACCTTCCTTTGAGGGTCTCAATCAACCATTCACTGCTGAAGTCACTTTTCTTGGTGAAGAGGAATATGCGCAGCAGAGAGAGACAAGCTGTGAGATTTCAGACCTAGGGCGAACTAGTTTTCTCCACTGACTGAACAGAAATGCAGGGAAGGAGAGCCACGAACACTGCTGAGGTGCTTTACCAACTGAAGTAGGTCAGGAACATGGCTCTGATACCATGTTTCGAATGCTGCTATAGTAACCCGAACCAGGAAGTGAAGGAAGAAGAGGAAGAAGGAGAAGGAAATAAGGGTCTGTCGAAAACTGATGATTGCACCTCCAGTCGACCCCCTTAATCTTTATTAGAGTCTAATAATCTTTTACAAAGACTAAATTGCCCATACTTAAGTGTGGGGCAGAGTACTCTAATAAAACCACCACATAAGCAAACTACTTAACACACATAAGATGACTAAACTACCCCTATTCGGCTCACTTTAACAGCAGCTAAATGAGGTGTTTACCCAAGAGCCAAAGTTCTAACTTCTAGTGTAGGTACACTTCCCTGGCTAAGGAACTGCTAAAGATTTGGCTGGTCTTTAAAAGCAGCTAAATGAGGTGTTTACCCAAGGGCCAAAGTTCTAACTTCTCTTCTAGTGTAGGTACAACCATGGACCTTATCCCTCACCTCTTGTCCACCTTATCATTGCCTCAGAGTTACCTTCAATTTCCAATCCATTATAACCCAGTGAAGCTGATAATCTCAAACTGTCATAGCAGTTAGGTACAGGTTTATTTCCATAGTCTATTGGGCCTGAATCTATTCTGAGTCTTCTCAAAATCTGTTTTTGAAGCCTTACAAAGCTGGTGATTTCTTGGTGCCTCATCCCTCTTGCTACTCTTTGGTGTATCTTGATGGGAAGAAACAGCAGGGTCTTTAATGGCAAATCCTCACAGTGGGATGAAGTCTGCCGGAACATCTTTGCTAAGATCGCTTCTTGGGAAATTCTTCAAACTCTTATACTGCATAACTTTTTGTATTCATTATACATTTGCTGTTTTGGGAATGGTGCATACTTGTACAGCTTCTCACTGTATAGGGGTTCTTCCTCTTTATACATCATAATGAAATTATTCCTTACTTTTTCTAATATATATATATGTATGTATGTATGTATATAGGAACATACTAGGTTGACAATATCCTAGAAGTAAACTCTTGCATTTCTCATTTGAATTTTTATTGACCTATGTGCATTCCTTGGTAGTTAAGGGTTACATTTGAAATCGTTCTTTACAGGTCAGGCAAAAGCTATTGTTTCTCTACTACAGGAGATACAAGAAAAAGACCAGAGGGCGACAATGTTGCAACTGGTAGACAAGGTCAAAGTCAAGTATAAGGAATCAGGTTAGCTGAATCTGTTTTTTTTTTTTTTGATCAATAACTGAAATTTTATTAAGAAGCCTGATTATGATTACAAGTATACATCTACTCAAAGAGAGATACAAAATCCTCCCCTTTACAGAGCATTAAACACTTACCCGCCCCATTACATTACATTTTACAACTATGCCCAAAATATTTGCTCTCATCCCACTCCCTGTTTAGCCAAAAAGTTGTCCATACAGTTTGCTTCCCTTTGCACACATTGTACCCTTACTTCCATTAGTGATACTATGTGGTGAAACTGAATAAAGAAGAGGAAAACAGAGGAGAAAGAGAGACTGAGAGAAGAACAAGAGAGGAAGAGGAAAGAAGAGGAGAGCTTGAGCCAAATAGGATTGAGTCAATAGTGCCGACTCACCCATTTAGTTTTATATTATTGTTTAAAAGAATAATAAAGTTACATTACTGCCCTCCCTTACAAAAAAGTGCATAAAACACTTAAGTATTACTACAAAAACAATGGGTGCTATTGAATGGATTGAAGCATTTTGGAAATTTCCTCCGAACTACATGGTTTTAATGTGCATAGGTTATATTTTTCATGAGCATATAATTATAGATTTTTAATGGAATGGTTTTGTTTAAAATGCATCTTATTGTTGCACAAAATTCGTGATTGTTTTATTCTCTGTCATTGTTTCTTAACTTTATACAATGTTCTTTTATTAAATATCATGTATATCTAGCAAGTTAGCAACTAAATACTCCTATTACTGATTATATATTAACAAAGTTGTATGGTGTGACTGCAATATAACCATTCATATTGGTTGGTGAATTTCCAGGCTCGGACCTAAAGAAAGAGGAGACCGAACAGCTCATCATTCAGCTTATATTAGATCGCGTTTTGGTAAGTTCCTTGACTTTTCATGCTCTATCTCCAATGATACCAAAGACTTTATCATCCTCACAAACTTACTGGGTAAATTCCTGTAAAATTAAACAACTTTCAAGTTTATCTCTGCTAATTAACATTGCTAAGAAGCATTCAGTAGCTAATATTTAGATATGGCAGCCCCTGATTTATAAGTGGTTGACTAGGGTCACATATTCTTCTTATGGGTACTAGTTTTCATCAGTTAAACTTTTTGAAATTTGTTTTGTGAAATTTTCTTGTTTTCTGCTATTGCAAATATATGACTTGCAAAGTATGCCATAGCTGATACAGATTTGTAGCTTTCTTGAAGAAAAAATACTATTACTGCTCAATGTTATTGAAATATGAAGCACTGATGTCAATGCAGTGAGGTGATTTCTAGCTGTTTGGCTTCCCTATGCTAATAACTGACTAGTCAACCGCTAAAAAGATGTATTGCAAATTTTAGATATTTATGCTATTTTATAAGCTGTAGATTCAAGTATGCACTAAAAGAACACATAGAAAATTATTATACAGTTTTCATTTTACAAACATAAAGGCTGGATGGGCTGGGGGATAGGGAGTCATAGTCTTTGTTTTTCAAAGAATGAGTATAATTTTGAGCACCTGATGTGGATCCCTTGTTTTAGTCAACTTAATGTTAGGACAGTGTTGATTGGAAGAACATAAAAAAACTCCCTTGTCATTACCACATCATAGAAAATTGTTATACTGCTCCACACAGGAGTCGGCTTTGAGGGTGAGTCAACCTCCTAAGAAGAAGCAAAAGGAGATAGGGAAATAGAGGGGAAAATTCTCATGCCAATTCCATTGCTCTACTGCTACTTATACGCTTTACATGTGAAGCCATGTGCACTTAGTTGTTCCCAGTATCCTGACATGGCTTCCTATGGTAAACATACCAGATGAGTGGTTTAGCTGGTGAGGTCGAGTGTGAGGGACCATGGTCATCCCTGAGTTTGTCTGGGCTCGGGTTTGGAGCACACCCAACAGGTGAAATGGGCTGGGTTCTATCACAAATTGTCAAGGCAAATGGCATGCATGTAATAAAATAGATGCGTTCTCATCGGTATCAACATGTAATAAAATAGATGCATATATAATATTCTTCTTTGACCCATCTCATTGCTGGTCCTTTGCCTCCATCTTTTCCGGTCAGAAGAATATGGCTCCCTTTTGTCCCTCGAAAGGTTTCCTTCTTTATTTGGGAGGTCTCTTGGTGATGCATTAATACAGGTAATATCATCCACAAGAAAAGTTCTGACCAACTTTATGTGTCTCCCTACATTTGCATTATGTGCATGAGGGATGGTGAATCTATTGGTCACCTCCTTATCAACTATGTGGCTGCTAGATACTTATGGAAATTCTTCTTGGACATGCTTCATGGTGATGTTTTCATTGGGTCTCTCCCAATTCTGTATCTGATCTCCAATGGCCTTCTTGCAAGCTTGGCCATAGGGGAAAAATCTTTGGAAGGCTATCTCTCATGCTGTCATGTGGTGCGTCTGAGAGGAGCATAATAGAATTTTGAGATCAAATCATCTCCTTTGAACGATCTTACAGGTAGAATTTTTCATAAAATCTTCTCTTGGATGCTTTCCTGCAAGAAATTCAAAAGGGTTAGGTATGGTGATTTGGGCAGGAATCTGATCAGTCTTGAACTCATCTGTTGGGGATCTTCATGGATGCCTACCTCTCAATCATAGGCAGAATGCAGGCTTCGTTTTAAGGTTTGATGGTGGCTGCTGATCTGGTTTCAGTAATAGAGGGGTGGTTGGTATTGGTGGGCTTATTCTCAATAGTGTTGGCAGTGTGGTTTGGGTCTTTAGTGAGGCTGTTGGTATTACTGATGCTTCTGAAGTCGAAGTTAGAGCCCTTCTGGTTGGTTTGAGGGATGACAAGTCTTTATTGGCTACACCTCTTTCTGTTGAGGGTGATTCTAGGAATGCTATTGGTTGGGCGTCCAGTATGGACCTAGGCTCTTTGAGGTTGGCACACTTTATTAATGAGATCTGTGACATTTCAGCTTCTTTCAAATTCTCCTTTAGATGGATTCCAAGGGATCTATTTGGTGGCATAGCCTATGTTACTCTAGATGTCATAGTGCCTTTTTTGGTTCTTTTGTTTGTGCATTCCCTTTCCCCCTTTTGTTACCATGAAATGAAAGTAATCTTTTCTGAAAAAAAAAACTAAGAAAAAAGGTTATTTGATATGGGATATGAGGTGATTTGATATGGGAAGAACTGAAGTTCCAGATTTGATATGGGATATGGGATGATTGAGTATTTTGTCATTCTTTGCCATCCTGTCAAAAAGGTTATTCTTTTTATTGATGGGTTGATTTCTTTATGAATTGTTAGGTAAAAACATGTTTTTCATTTCCTTTGATATTCATTAGTTCCAAAATTTATAAATATAGTCTATGAAAATAAAAAAGAAAAGACACAAAACTTATTTTAGCAAGTAATCTTGCAAGGATATAAGATTGCCATCCTTATTATTTCTTTCATTATTTTTTAAAAACAGGCATGTTCATAATGCTTATGCACTCATAGCTCCTGCAAGTGGAATGCCTTACACCACCCCTCCAAGCAGTTATTTAAAAGGAGCACCTAGGCACATAGGCGAGGCACATTTTAAGGTATGTGTCTTGTCTATTCCACCAGGCACAACACTTTCAAAAGGCACACACCTGGTGTGCATAGGCATGCATCTGGTGCGCCTTGCACTTCAGTCCAAGCACGTGCCTTTTGAAAATTTGCACATTTTTTATTTTTTATTTTTGTTTTTTATGCCTAGTGGCTGGGCTGGGGCCTCCATCCTGGACCCCCAACCAATCTCCTCAAGGAAAGCCCAAAAAAGTCCATATCAAAGTCTTAAGTTCTTAATCCCTATAAAAAAGACTATAACTTTAATTGTCTTTTAAAAATATCTTTTATTAAGATGAATGAATGAGAAACATTAGCAAATATGGGGTTTTCAGAGCTTCGATGAGCGAGCAAAGTGAGTGAATGTGAGCAAAGTGAGTGAATGTTGCTCATTCATTCACATTAATAAAAGATAATTTTAAAAGACAATTAAAGTTATAAAATCTTTTTCTATAGGGATTAAGAACTTAAGACCCTGATATGGACTTGTTTGGGCTTGCCTCGAGGGGCTTGGTTGGTATAAAGGCAATTCGTAGAATTAGGAATGCATAATGTTTAACATCACATTAGCCACTTGAAGTAACGCAATTGGGAAAAGAATAAAGAGATTGAGGGTTTTACATGCTTGAATATGTTTTATATGTTATGCTTGATTTTATTTATTTTTATCAGTGAATATTCAGATTTATTAAATCAAAGTCAAAGATAGTACAACTTAGGGAGAGGCATGAGATGCTACCTCCCCTTTAAAGAGGGGAGATGGAAGAAACCATCAACCCTTTAGTTAAAGAACATAACAAAGGAAAAAGAAAATTACAAGGAAGCCCAATACAATGAAACCCGAGTAGCCCCTTGTTTAGCAAGGTAATCAGCCAAGGCATTAGCCGATCTACCCAGCCACTGAACTCTAACTGTCATACCCCTCAATAGCCATTTAACCTTTTTTAAAATACCCTTAAAAGTTCCAAGTGACAGTACCGGGATCAGCCAACCATCCTACTACCACCTTGGAGTCTCCTTCAATTATTAAGTTTTGCACTCCGAGTTGATAGGCAATCTGTACCCCCTGTGCCGCAGCTAGGAGTTCACCCCTCACAGAGTCTCCTATTCCCACCGGACCCGGAAAAAAGGCAATAATGTTGATGTTCTCATCTCTCAGTACACCACCAATCCCAGACGGTCCTGGGATACCCTGACTACTTCCGTCAAAGTTCAGCTTAATAAAACCCTCCATCGGTGGAGTCCAAGTTACTTGGACTCTAGGCTTCGTAGAGGAAGTGAGGGGTGAACTCCTCATTAAATCCTCAAAGGAATACTTATTTCTTTCTGAAAAATTCTGGAATTCATCTCTTCCCAAATAGTCCAAAGGAGAGTTGCTCTTATACACTTCAACATGACTCTCCCTCTTCTTGTGGTCCACACAAAGGTAGAAGGGGAAAACAGCAAATTTACCTCAGCTGGAAAGTTCAACCTACACTCAAACAAATCAAATACCCAATTCCAAATGGCTGCAGCAAAAGGACAAGAAATCAATAAGTGGTAACAGTCCTCATTTTGCGCTTGCACAAAATACACCAGTTAGGATATAAACACAAAAAAGGTCTTTTCTTCTGCAGCTTATCCATCGTATTGATTTTACCCAAGTAAACTTCCCAACAAATACAGCAATTTTTGGGGGAATAGGCCTAGACCAAACTTCCTTAACTGGGAAAGCCCGAGAGGAAGAACTGGAGCAGAGAGAATTAAAGAAAGAAGCACAAGTAAACAGCCCTTTCGGAGTCAAAGTCCAATCTTCCTATCAGGATTTATTGGGTCCAGGCAAGCAGAATCAAGTAACAATAGGAGCTCAGAAACTGATAAGGATTCCTCATCCCTCAACCCTCTACGAAATCCAAGGTCCCAATTTGTCGACAAAGGGGTATACGGGGGCAAAATAAAGGAAGACACTGGTTCTTTTTTATAAAGGGAAATAGAGAAGAGAGAATGGAACAGATCCTTAAGGGGCAAATTTCCCACCCAAGTGTCTTCCCATAAAAGAATACAAGTCCCAGAGCAAGTATCATACCTTACAAAGTGTAGAAACTGTGGGAGGATGCCATGAATTGCCTTCCAAGGTGTTGCAAGAGTTGCCCGCCTGGATACCTTTGCATCCCAACCATTTTCGGAATAGCCATGGATACTTGCCACCACTTCATACCATAACCTCTCCCTCTCTAAAGGCCACCTCCACAACCACTTACCTAGAAGGGCTACACTCTTGAAAGTGATATTCCCTATTCCTAATCCTCCCTCCTTACTTTGACTAACTATCTCCCATCTAACCAAATGATCCTTCTTCTCTTGCCTCGACTCCCACAAGAAGTCCCTCATCATTTTCTCTAACCTCTTAGCTTCCCTAGCAGGAATCTTAAAGACAAACAAAAAGTAGACCGGCAGATTAGCAAGTGTGGATTTGATCAAAGTCACTCTACCCCCCAAAGAGATAAAATTCTTTTTCCAACTTGCCAACTTCTTACCAAACTTTTCCACAACAGGGATCCAAAAGCGGCTTTCCTTTGGGTTACCTCCTAGGGGAAGACCTAGATAAGTTAAGGGCCAGGAARAGGTGGAGCACTCTAAGCAACCTGCAATAGCCTCTATTTCTTGAGCATCCATATTGACTCCCACCACACAAATTTTTTCAAAGTTGATTTTTAGATTTGAGGCCTTTTCAAAAAAATTAATTAAATTCTTAAGGTTCCCAACCTTCCTCAAATCGCTTCCTTCACAAAAGATTATAGTATCATCTGCAAACTGAAGGTGAGTCACAGGCACACTATTTAAATTTTCATTTTAAATATGTTTTACATGTTATCTTTATGTATCTTAATTTGAGTTAATAAGTTTTTAAAGCATGTATTTTAATATTTAAGTTTATATTTTTAATTAATATTATGTTTAATATTTGTTTTTAGCTTTTTCTTTTTGTTTTTTTTTGAACTTGTGGCAATTTTTTATTCTTTTAACCTTTTTTTTTTTTGCATTTTTATGCCTTGCTTTGAAAAGGTATGCCTTGCCTTTCTTCTTGCACCTTGGGCGTAAAATGCCCCTTGTGCTTTTCTTGTGCCTTGCACTTTTAAAACACTACCTCTGAGTCTGAAAACACTAGTTGAAATTATAAAAGTTCTAAGTGGACCAACTCAATTATCAAGGATGCCCGGTCACTATTGAAAGGGATGGTAAAATCCATCGTATGGACGCCAAAACATTTGCGGAATAGGTGGGCGAATTTCAAAAATTTTCTACCTACCTTTCAGTTGGGAATCGTATTCCTTAATTTTAGAATCAAGATTCAAGGATCCTACTTGAACCAGAACAGAACTAGATCTGAACCAAAAGAGAAGGGAGTAATTATACCTGATCCAAACAAATAATATCTCCCAAAGTTGGTGTTCATGCCCAAAGAAGGTACCAAGATCTGCTCCTGCTGAAGATGACACAGCAACTGTGGAACAGAACCAGCAGAGTGCGTCCTACACACTGAATCCTTCAAAAGAATCCTTTGGATGACAATGAGCACCAAACAGAATCAGCCTTTCAACAAAGACTGATATCAAGAACTTTTCTTGATCTTTCTCTGACAGAGAAAACGAACTGCAGTGGATGGTGGTGGCTGCAACAAGAGGAAACTAGAGAAGAAGATGGCGAACTGCTTTTTCTTCTCTAGGGTTTCTGAGATCCTACCTCACAAAACTGCAGGGTGTGTTCTGTGTAAATCCCCTAGGGTTCGAATTCTTGTAATTCGAATAGGGTTTCCTCCAGATGCTTAATGATTAAGAAAAGATCTCCTGATCATATCAGGAGTTGCCCTTATCCAAATCTGTATTTGGATTAGGACTCTTCTTAATCCTATCTGCAGATTAGATAAGCTTTTGGGCTCATCCTAATCTCAGATCCACCCCTTGTTAATGACTGATCAAATCAGCCCAGTTC